AAGAAATTACTTACTCATTACTCTCCATAAAAATTGAATCTTAATTAATGAGATAAGGATCTTTGAGTTTTTTTTTTTTCAATATGTTAACTGAAAAACTAATGAGTGGATCCAATTCAACAACAATTAAAATTAGAAATTAATAATATAAAGTAAAGGTTAGGAATTAAACAAATTATAATTTAGTATATAAGGCCTGGTTCAATTTTCTTATATCCAAACGAAAAAAAAAAGTATAAAAGGCCTGGTTGGGATAAACTATGGCACTTCATGCATTTCGTTAATCTTTATAGATTTTTTGAAGTTGCAACAAAATTTAATATATGCAACACTATACTAACAAGATTTTGGTTGAATTAATACCTATTAACTTAAAAAATTTAATTTAAGATCAAAATTAAAAATTTAAACATATGTACAACTAAATAATTAACCCTCTAAAGTACAAAAATATATTCAACACGATGGTGGGTTTTAGATATTTCCAATGGAGGTGTTGTTAGTACAATATTTATGGGTAGTGGTTTGTCTAATATATATGGTTTACAAATTGTCCCAAAGTTAATCCAACTATAAGTCTGAATATTTAAGTTATTAAAAAAGTAATTGTAAAAGGATATAAATTGATATTCATTTTAATTTAATACAATATATAACATATTTATTTAAATATTATTATATTTTAATTTAAAATTAAAAATAAATAAACTTAAAAACATAGCTATACGTAAAAGAAATAAAAATTGACTAAATTAATTATATTTATATTATATTTTTAACTAAATCAGATTGAATGTAAGAGAGTGTGTTGACCACCGTTCACTACTAGAAAACAAGATTTAATTGATAGAAATTGTTGTCGATTATAAGGGAATTCTATTGATTATAAGTACAATCAATAGTTATAATCAACAGCTAACTCTATCAAATAAACAATGGGAAAAATTAAGTATAATTGATAAAAATGTTTTTTTATCGATTATAACAATTGCTGTCGATTCTATTAGCTCCAGCAATTAAAAAAAATCTAGAATTAAAAAAATGCAGAATTAAATTTTTAATTTCACAATTATTAATTAAATTATAAAGTTATTAAACAAAATTTAATGATAAAATCAATGAAGTGCAACAATAGTATATATAAAATAATTTTGAGAATAATTGAAAACAAGAACAATATTCAAATATTATGAGAACTAATGAAAAACAAGATAAATAACAAGTAATTTACCTATAATGAAATTAAAAAAAATTGTAAAAAAAAAAAAGCATTGTTATACATTATAAGATTTTATTTAAGCAAAGGAAAATGAAAAATTAAAATTAAAATGCAAATTTACCTCATAAAATGATTTTAAACTTAATAATATACAAAAATAAGAATAAAAAAGTATTAGTAGATCAAATAAAAGTAATTGAATGATAAAAGAAAATAACAAAAAAATAAATGAAAATAAAAACCTTGAGATGAAAGCATGAAAGAAAATGAAGAAAAAGTAGAAGGATGCCAACCAATAATGAAAATAAGAAAAGTAGAAGGAATGATGAAAGAAAAGTAGAAACAGGAGGGAAA